TTCTAAAACATAAGGATTTTTTTAATTCTCAAAAAAAAGGCTGACATTAAGCGTGGCTCAGGGTATCAATTCTTACAACCATAAAACACCATGACCTTTGAAACTGCATTTAAAATGTTCATGCCTCATTTAGCTCACACTTAATTTATGGAAATTAATTAGTGTTACATGAATTAACTGTTTGCCGTGGCATTTTCTATTCTGTCCAGTGTAACCTCATACTTAGACTTGACCTAAATGGCAAAAGAACTTGCTTAGTATTTAATTAATTTTTTTCATTAGAAGTAATAATGGGACAACTATGTGGTTCCCCAATGAAAAGACCATAATAAATAGTTTCTGAATGACAGACTATTCTAGGTACTAATAGTCTAATTTTGGCATGTTTGGATCAGTTCCAAAGTCCAAAGAAAGTAGCTATTCAGGAAGGGAATGTTAATTTAGTTTTCCTTCTGTATGGCAAACAAACCGAAAACCCTAATCAAAGTTATTACTTTTAAATCAAATGATATTTACAAGAATAAATTTACTCAAGTATATTTGAATGAATACACTTTAACTGAATTTTTCTTCACATCTTTTTTGGGAAAATGTGACTTCCTTATTTATGTCTTTGCTGCTGAAAAAGGAATGCCATGGGTTATCTCTACAGAGAATTTAAATCTGTGGATTGTTGTTGTCATGCAATGTAATAAGAAGGGAAAGGAATGGAGAGGGGAAAAAGCGAGGAAAAATATGAGTGTAAATACATACAGTTTGAGTACATTTGTGTTTACAAAATGTTGGTCCAAATTGCTAATTTAGCCAGTTCCTTTCCTCCCTTCCTATATCATGTAAAAATAAGTAAAGAAATTTTACAGTGATTTAGAAAGGGGTGGATGAGTTTAGCTAAAAGGGCTTAAACATAAGGCCTGAGAGGCCAGACATCCTTTTTAAAGAGAAGGAGCTTGAGAAACATTTATTGTTGGATTTGTCAATCAGCAGAATTCAATCTCCTCCATCAAGGTCAGTACAATTATCATTTGCTAGAGAAAGTGATGGCTTAATTTGAAAGTTTTCTCTTTGCCATTTTCTCACTTAAAATTTAATTTGGATCTTTGGGGTTGGAAAAAGCTATCAGTTCAAGGCTACAGAATACAGAAGGAAGAGTTAGGAGGAGCCACTGTCAGCTTTCCTTTCATTAAACACTCTTAATATCATCTTTTGAGATTGCAACTTATTTTGACATTATTGTTTGAAAATATTTTATCATTGGATATTTATAATTTACATTATGACAAAAAATAATTTTAGTACATAAAATTAATCTACATCTCTATTTCCTATTATTTGAAATTAAATGTGGATTTTAAAGGACATTTATTTTTAAGGCTAAAATACACTATCAAATTGTAATGCAGAAAGGGCATATCAGTTTAATTTTCCCATAATCCCATTTTTTTTCTCATCCTTGGCAGCATAGAGCAGCATTTTCTTTACTTTTTTTAAATTCCTTAGTCTTTCTTTCTTATATTGTGAAGCTGATTGTATTAGTTGGAAATTGTTATTGATAATGAATTCTAGAATAATTACGTAAACTGCAAGAGAAAAGTGATGCCATTTCAGCTTAATTAGAACAGTTATCTAAAACATTGTCATTTTCCAGTGCCAATCACATATCATGTATTTTGGTGACTATTGAACTAGAAAAAAAGACTAAAGCTCTTTGCAATAATGTTCCTAATATGTTTTGATTACTACCTTATTTTACTCTAATTTTTGTCAAAGGAAAAATTTCCATTTAAAAGATCTTTATTCCAAATAGTACCTTTTCTTCTTATGAAATTTATTAATCTATAGATACTCAGAAATAGTCAAAATAAATATATCCCTGTCTACCTCTCTACCTCCACCCTAATAATCAGAAATCAGAACAGATTCAGGCTTTCTTTTAGAAATTGCCTTATTTGTGCATTTTAATGTCCTAGAACTAAGCTGAAGAGTGGTAGTAAAAGTAATTATAAAGGAGACAAATGCATATTTAAGAATCAGTATTTGTGCAACTAGTTCTAGTTCTAGGGAAATATGTAGTTTAACAAATTCTATCTTTGCTCTTTATTCATCTAAAACAAAACCAACACAGCTCCCCCCACACACATTTATTGAAAATCTATGTACCATGCATTTGCAATTAACTGTTGATACAGAGTGAACAAGGTATAACTCATGCTCTTCCAAGGATTGCAAATTATTAGGAATATCAGATTTAAGTAATAGTGTTAATATAGTAAGTGCCTATAAAAAATGTAGTGCTAGCACAGAAGACAAGATAGCTAGTTGTCTAGATGGGAAAACAGTAAAGTTTAAACAGCATTCTAAAGGATGAATAGGATTTGGCTAGGTTTTCTGGTAAATGGTTGCCAATGCAATATTCTAGGCAGAAGGAGCAGCACATGAGCAAGAACTGAGGCAAGGCACCACACCATCATTTTGAGAGCCCATAAAATGATTTAGCTTGGTGGAAAGTGAGATTGGACACATGAGAAGGTCTTGTCTTACATTAAGAACATTGGGAATCCACTGAAAGATTTTATGCAAATAAATGATTTGTTTATATTTTTTGCTTCGTAAGATCAGTGATTACAAAATGATCAATTCATGGTATTTTTCTGAGTCTGGGGTGAATGTAACTAAATTGCAAGTCAAAATGTAGAAAGATTACTTACAAGGACAAGACATTTTAATGGCCTAAATCTGTGGTTGTCAAACCTTAGCATGCACCAGAATCACTTGGACCACTTGTTTAAACACAGGTTATCAGGCTTGATTTCCAGATTTTCAGATTCAGTAGGTACAAGGTGAGCTCTAAACTTGTTAACAAGTTCCCGGATAGTTTAGGGTGTCATGCACATTTTCTACTTGATCAAATGGGTAGATCCTGGTGTCATTAAACAAAAGAAGGAAGCATGAAACAAATACTTTTTTACCCAGAAATCCCCCTTGTCTTACAATCTGTTTCTCTAATTCCCCAAGGTTTACATGTTACTTGCTGGCTACCCCTTTGCTTTGGCATTCCTTCCTCATAAGAAGCATCTCAGATGCTGAACTTTGATTGTTTGAATGTTTCTGGTTTATACTTTCAGCATTTAGCTATTAGCTGACCCAAATGGACCAATGTGTCATTGATTATAAATGTGGGAATTTGCTGCTTTTCCATGGTGACAAATTTCTACTTCAACAGTGACAGTCCTGAAGCCATGCCTTAGCCCAATACAATGTTCAAGTGGGAATTTCATGGACTACAATAGGAAATCTGGAGGTTCATTCTTGGTGATAGGAGTCTTTTGACATCCTTCAATGCACGAAGGCTTGCTCTGCTAAAAAAGAGGCCTATTTAAATGACAAATGCCAGTTAAATATTCTGTTCTTTGGGCCTTACTCCAGTGGGGATGAATAAAAAATATCTTTGCCAAGGAAAATTAACAGTAACTTTTAAAGATATTTCTTAATTGTAATCTAATAACACACTGTTTTGAATAACTTGTTTAATTACATGTGCAGGAAGTAGATCAGATGGTGGTCATACAATCTTCTTGAATCAAATTATGCACATGTGTGTGCATCTAGTACACACATCCTCCTTGGGAGAAATTACTTTATTCCATTTCTGTCAGATTACTCATCTGTACAGTTAGAACAATAAAATACCTTACAGGATATTGGATGGATTAAATGAAATAATGTACATAAAGCAACTAGTTTAATGTTCTGTATAATAAATATTGTCTCTTCTCTTTTCATCTTGATGATTTTCTTTTATTTAGTGGTAAGTGATCTAACTCTAGACATCTTTGAAAGGAATCATGATTTGGAATTGGTAAACTAGACAGTAGTGGCATTATATTGATCAGGGTATGCCCAGTGAACCAACTGAAGTCTTCCACAGTCTGCAAAAGCTTTTATTTTACAAATATCATTAGTAAATTCCTAGGACTATTTTAATGTTAAGAGTTGCTTCTTTTATAAAAAATTTTTCTTAGGCTTCCAATCTAGTATTTCCCTCATTCTCACTCCAATCAGAGATGTTATTGCATATTTGATTTTGATGTGGTCATTTGGTAATACTTGTGGAAAATCAATCCTTTTCTACAACAGGAAAAAAGAAATTAATACATGCCAAAAGGACTGAAGCATGCTGTATTTCTGGTTCTCTGTTCTAAATGTTATCATGACTTGTTTTAACACCAGCCATGTTCACAGTTTGGAAGGTTTATTGTGGCTCCCATGAAGATTCAGACAACAGATATTTTCAAGATAATCACTGTAACACTTTCATAATGATCATTTATTCAGTACTTACTATGGGGGAATTCTGTAATATATTTCTACCTGTGTCCATACACATATTTCCATATCTATAATCAGTGTCCATAGTACCCCAGGACTTTTTAAATGAAAGTCCTAGAAGGAGGGATATAGAACATGCCTTTATTATTCCTGTTATGAAGAGTGATAGAAGTATTTCTCTCTCAACTTTGGAAAGGCATTATTTTCAAGAACCTGATGGATTACATTTCCCAGCCTTCATTAAGTTCCCTGAATAACAAAACTACTGGAAAGGATAACTCTTTGCTAGGAAATTTGATTATTTTTAAATTCATTTTATTAGTTGTCCCCTCCTACCCCTCCATCTTTGCCTGGCCCAGTTAAAGGCTATATGTCAATATCTAATCGATATTAAAATGTATGTCCAGGGGAATCTCAGATAATTGCTGTACAAGGAAAAAATCAAAATTGAAATAATTTCTAAGACAATTTAATAAGTACCACTTTACTTCAAGGGTCAGACGTGGCACTAGGATCAGGTTGAATTTCTGTATTTCCTGGAAAACCTCCATAGCAAGTCCTTGCTTTTAAAAGTTGATAGTTTCATAACTTAGTTTATTTCATCAAATGTGTTCACCAAGTTCAGAAAATTTTACCATACACAGGGGCCTAATTCAGCAGGCTCTTGCACTCACCTATGAATCTGATGATCCTTCGGAGTAAGGGGTTCAGGTAACAGCATTCTCCAGTCAAAATTGTTTTCTCCTCGGCAATCAGGTTTTCTCTTGTTGACTTTATGAAATACATGGATATCTCACCAATAAAAATCTGGGAAAGAAATGTTTAAAAATTGTCAATCTGGAGAATTATTTGATTAAAGAGAGACCAGTGACTTTTTAAAAAATAATTTTTAAGGATTCACAATTCTTTTAAAAGATACCATGTGGTAATGATAGAGAGTTAGATAGTAGTTTTGCATGTTATTCTTCAAAAGAATTGGAGAAAGCAAAATTGATTATTTCAGACAGAGTTCAGGGCATGATATAAAATTCAAAGGTCATACAAAATGGAAGTTGAAATAATAAATTGTAATACAATTTGTGATAAGGCTCATGATGGGATTGAATTTTTTTAAAACTAATGTGTGAGTTGCAATGATGAGGAATGATTCAGATGGCAAATGCACCCAAAAAGACATTGTTTATACACAACACAATAAATTATTAATTCATTATGTGGCAAGATACTATTATTTATAAATCCTTATTTGATCATGTTTGCCTGAACATACTTCTGTCCCAGGGCACTTTTTTGGCACTTTTCTTGAACTAATACATGGAGGGCTCTGTTTAGCACAAACTCCTGCAGAGATGGGGTACATGTGTAGAAAAACATGGTACCCTGGCTGGTGCGATCTAGGATACAGTTTAGACATAGGTGGTCTGTAGGTGGAAGAGTGGCTCAGGACTGGCACAGAGAGAACCTAACAAGTCAGAATAGGGTGGAAAGCAGGAAGAAATACACAGAATTCAAGGCCAGACAGGGAGTGGCCCAGCATGGATGCTGTATTGGGAAGATGTCTAGAAATGGTTGTACAGAGCTAGAAATGCTTTGTACCTAACATTCTTTGGAATTAACAATGAATTGATATCCTGCCATGTAAAAATATTTGAATACCTTCAAGTATTCAGCCCATTCTTTTATAAGACCCATCTCTGCTCAAATAAGGTGCCAAGGGGCTTTGTTTGTACCTAATGTATATGCATTACTGCATTACTGTTCCTAATCTTAGTGAACAGATGGAGATAGATTCATGTATGCTCAGTCAAATGATGTAGTATTTTCTTGAGGGAGTGTGTCCTGGTCCTATAGAGTGAATGAGGTATTCTTATTAACATTAATCTCTTACTTTGTGTTTCTCTTTTCTAGCTCTTTTTTTCTTTTATTCATATGTGCATACAATGTTTGGGTCATTTCTCCCCCTTTACCCCACCCCCTCCCTTATCTACCCTGCCCCTTCCCTCTCCCCCCATCCCCTCACTACCAGGCAGAAACTATTTTGCCCTTATGTCTAATTTTGTTGAAGGGAGAGTATAAGCAATAATAGGAAGAACCAAGGGTTTTTGCTAGTTGAGATAAGGATACCTATACAGGGAGTTGACTCACATTGCTTTCCTGTACATGTGTATTACCTTCTAAATTAATTCTTCTCGACTAACCTTTTCTCTAGTTCCTGGTCCCCTTCTCCTATCGGCCTCTGTCACTTTAAAGTATCTGCATTAGTTTCTCTGCATTGAGGGCAACAAATACTATCCAGTTTTTTGGATGTCTTACTTATCCTCATTTTTCTAGCTCTTGTCACAAATAATTACATATTGTTATTGTTTTTCTTAGTTATGAGATGTCCTACCTATCTTATTTTCAGCCGTATCTCAGAGCCTTGACTAATGGAAAGTACGTAGTAGTTGTGTAAAGTTGAATGAATTAAGATATCAGATTAATGAAGGCCCTCTGGATAAAAGTTTAATGAATCTGAGTATAAAGAAGAAAAAAAATGATTCTATTATCTTTTCAAACCCACTGAAAATGTCATGGCCTATGGGGATGACTTTTCTAGGTCCCCTCAGCACATCCACGAAATGTGCTGACACAGCCTATTACGTAGGTCTCCTGACATCTATCCAATTAATTGTGATTACTGTTTGTATGTCACTCTCCATTTGACAATAGTGTCCTTGAGGGAAGAACTTTTGTCATTTTTATACAGTGACCAGAACAAAGCCTAGCATATAGTAGATTCAATTAATATTTGTTGAATAAATAGAAATTTAAATACTTGCAGGACCTACCAATGGATAGAATTTTTGGTCTTAATTTCCCTAAAAATGAGCAACTGAGGAAATTCCTGATATGTATCAGAAATCATAGAATTTTTGTTGTGTTGTTTAAGAGTAAACATCAAGGACTAAATTACAAGAAGTGAACTATCTCTTTTTATGTTAAATTTGCTTATTTTCTCTTTTAGCATTCAATGATTTTTGGGAAGAGAGTACTCATCCTATAGTGGATACAAATAAATAAATATATAATATGTTATATAGGAAATATTTACATATTGGTTTTGGTCCTTAGTTTATGAGGCAGAACTGTTCAGAATTTTTTAATTTCCCATGTGAGTAAAGCATCTGTGTTCTAATGAGGTGACTTTGGTAGGCTCCTGAATATCCTAAGGAGGGGGTGGTTGCAAGGGAATCAACCATGTGATTAAAGATTTAGAACTTTTAACCTTAACTCACCTCTGGGGAGGGGAGAGAGACTGAAGGTTGAGTTGATCACTGATGGTCAATGGTTTACTCAAGAGTACCTATGTAATAAAGTCTCCATAAAAACCTAGAGCACAGGGTTTATAGGGAGCTTTCATATTGCTGAATGTGTGGAGGTTCCTGGAGGGTGATGTGCTAGAGAAGGTAGGGAAACTCTGTGTCTCTTTCTTTATTCCTTGTCCTATGCATCTTTCCACCTGAATATTTATCTATGTCCCTTGTAATATCCTTTATAATGAATGGGTAGACATTAGTAAAGTATTTCCTTGAGTTCTATGAGCCATCCTAGCAAATTAATTGAACCTGAGAAGGGACTCATGGGAACCCCAATTTATAATCATTCAGAAGTATAGGTTAAGTGAGTGGTTTCAGAATTGGGGGGAGTCTTGTGAAACTCAGTTCTCAACCCATGAGATCTGATGCACTCTTCAGGTAGGAAGGGTTGGAATTGAGTTGAGTTAAATTATGCTGGTGTCTGCTAGAGAGCTGCTTGGTGTGTTTGGAAAAAAAATATGTCCATGTCAGAAGTGTTGTGTTGAGTGGCCATGTAAGAGAGTAGGAAAAAAGTTCATTTTTGAAAATGTCATAAAGTTACACATGATTAAAAAGTAAACCAGTGAAATTAGATGGAGATAGACAAATGAATTAGCCATTCAACAAGCCCAAAACATTGTTACTTTATAGAAAAGGAGGTGTGCAAATTTTAGAAATTCTTTAGTTATTGAGGCTTTCCACTATTCACACAAAGTGGCAAAAAAGCAAGATAGTAAGAATGTCTACACATAATACACCCTCATTAAAACCCATTACTGTATGTGGAGTATAAATACACAGATGTAAACAAAATCATTCCAAGGTATATATGGCTAAACAGAGCTTAGCAAGCAAAAGGAAATAGGGTTCAAATAAATCCATAAGCTAAAAAGGCCCAAGACTCCATATCAAAAGTAATAATGGATACAAAGATTGTACTGTCGTTAACATTCAAAACACAAATGAAGTATGGAACATAAAAGAAAGAAATCAACAAGGGAGCATTCTGATCTATAGATCCAGTTATGGCAATACATGAAATATACTACATGATGATAAATGTTTTCATAAGAAAGAAAGGAAGAGAGGGAGGAAAGAAAGAGGGGAATCATTGTATAATCAAAATACAGTAAGATATTCCTGGCTTGTGTAGTAAAACTGTGATTGACACAAAGGTTGCTGAAGAAACAATCTAGTTCTCATATCCTAATGAGTGGGCTTCATGAGCATTCATTTCCTAACCACACATAGGATGCTATTCTCCATTCACTAGTCCTATAGGATCATACAGGGGCTGACTGTGCTTAGAGAATGGAGACTGTGAAGGTAAGGGGCCTTCTTCTTTCTGCCAAGCCTGAGCCCATATTGAATACCATTTTGCTCATGGTGGCAGATTTGTGACTCTGGTTTTGGCAATGGCTAGCTTCCTCATCTGTACCTCTGCCACACCACTCTGTCTTAATCTATCACTGCTCAGAGAGCAGCTGGGTGTGTGGAACTCTCCACGTGTTCAGTAATGGCTGCCTTGCCGATTGGGCTCTTCTGGTAGTTGGCTAACAAATCATGGCAAACGAGTGTCCTCCAGTGAAAAATGGTCAAGGGCAAACTAGCTCTGGCAATGAATGAACCACAAACAAATTCCCTTAGTGTGTTTTCATCCCCTAGCTATGCCAGTTATAGTCCTAAGTGACACATGCCCTTTAGCTAATAGTAAATACATATTAAGAAATGAGGACAACCCTTGTATCTTGATAGAGTTAACCTTTCACATAAGGAAACCCAAATGGCAAATACATAAACAGCTTTGAAACACAGTACATTGTTTTTGTGTGTTATCTTTCAGACTGTATTTCTTCACCAAACTTAAAAGACATTTTATTTTTAAAGTGACAAGGTTATGTGTATTTATCATCTGCAACATGATGTTTTAAAGTATATATACATTGTGATGAAATCTAGGTAATTAGCACACAGTACTTCACACGGTTATCATTTTAGTGGTGAGAATATGTGGCATTCATTTTATTAACATTTTTGTTTTCTTTTGTTTTATTGTTGTGCTGGGTGTGGGTACATTGTAGCATTTAAAAAGGTTATTAGCATTTTTTAAGAATATAATATATTGGTGACTACTAAGTCACCATGGTGTGTATTCTTCCTATTTAACTGTAATTTTGTATCCTTTGAGAAACATCTCCACAACCACAGGCCCTGGATAATCACTATTCTTCTTTCTATTTCTATGAGATCAACATTTTTAGATTCTACATGAGTGAGACCATGTGATATTTATCTTTCTATATCTGATTTATTCACTTAACAATGTCCTCCAGGTTCATCCACATCGTCACGAATGATAGGGTATCCTAACTTTTTATAGCTGAATAGTGTTTTCTTGTATATATTGCCACATTTTCTTTATCCATCTATCTGTTGAGGGATACTTAGGGTGATTCCATAACTTGGCTATGG